AGCCACAGCTTTTCTGAGCAACCTGTGCCAGTGTCTCACCAGCCTCACAGGGAGAAATGTCTTCTAAGCCCTCCAAACCCCCAGTTTAAAGGGTGAAAGGGGTGCTGTGTTTAGGTGACAGCATCAGCCCCAAGCTGGGCCATGGGTGCCCAGAACACTCACCCTCAGGGAGCTGAAAGACACTGGGTGGGAATCGGTGGCTGAAGGAGGAGTAGTCGATCTCATACTTGTCATAGTGGGAGCCCAGGAGGCTGTTGAAGCCCCTCACCTCATAGTGCAGGGGCACAGGGCCGTGGGCAGAGCTGCCCACCCGCAGGGTGTACACATTCTTCTTGTGACCCCAGTATGAGACGTTCTGCCAGACGGAGCAGCGCTGCCCGCGGAATCGCTCCTCCCGCACCCACTGGGGACAGAGCACGTGTCAGGCACTGGGGTGCCACCCCAGCACTGCACTCCCAGCATGCTGGGGCACCCCACAGGGAGAGCACCTCATCCTGCATTGTGCCATGATGGATGAACCTCCCAATCCGTCACTCATGGCTGCATCCAGCTGGGTATTTACCCAGTCCCAGCTAGGGAATGCTCTGCCCTCACAGGGAGGATCCTGTACCATGGGAGTTTCTCATCCGCTCCACTGTCCCATCCCACATCCCAAAGGACCATGTCCAGGGCTCACCTTGAAGTTCTCCAGGCTGGGGAAGACGCTCTGAGGGGTGATGAGGTCCCCGTTGGTGCCGTTGATGCGGAAGCACTTGCGGATATTGACTTCTGTCTCTGTAGTCTCAGGTGTCACCTTGAAGCTGGCGCCAAAGGGCTCGATGGAGCCAAACTGGTAGGTGACCACTTGGCCTGGGGATGGGGACAATACTAAGGACAAGCCAAGCCCCGAGGTTCTGGCATGGTGCTGGCTCCCAGGGCTTTCCTGGTACACCCACAGGTCCCAGGGCAGAAGGAGGGGGATGGTGAGGGGTTGGGGGATTGGATTCCTTTCTGCACCCACCACCGTAGTACTCAATGCGGCTCTTCCCCGCAGTGAGGTTGTACCAGGCTTCAAAGGGCTCCCTGATCTCTGCGTAGGGCAGGCTGATGACTCCTGCAAGCACAGAGGGGATGGCCTGGGGGGGCTGTGAGGGCTGAGCCCCTAGAAGCATCCACTGGCCTCCTGCCCTGCCCTGCACAGCACAGGGTAGACAGGGAGCACCCCAGGACCCTCAGCATCACCCCATGGGCACACCCAGCAGCACCCACAGCACTGAGCACCCCATATCTGGGAAATTGAAATGTCCTTGGCTCGGACATGGATGGGAGCCAGTGGCTGGAGATGTGTGGGGGGGGTGTCCTGTCCCCAGGCAGTACCTGTAACATGGTAGATGTCCCCAAATGTGGGTGTCTCCAGAGGACCTTTGCACTCTGCTCCTGCAGGAAAAAACAGAAACAATCTCCAAACACAGCTCATTTCCCAGCCCCTCTGGCTTGCTGTCCCCTGGGAGAGGGGTACAGACTCAGGGGAGCCCGTGCTGGTGGCAGGGAAGAGCAGAGACTGAGAGTCCCCAAGCTGGGGGCTCATCAGCCCTCTGACTGACCCAGAGCCCCCCATGCATCCCCAATCTCCCTGGCAGTGCCACCAGCTCAGGGGCACCCCAAAGCCCCCATATGCCACACACAGGTGTGCCCACTGCCCCTCTGTAGCTCCAGGCATGGGGACAGGGACAGAGCAGCCCCCTCCCAGGACAAGGACCCCCAGCAGCATGGCAATGCCCAGGCTAAGGGGCATGATACCACCCCTCCCACCAAGCTCAACCAGGGTGGGTGCTCACCCAGCAGCAGGGTAGCTCCCAGCACCAGCAGCAACCTCAGCCCCTCCATCCTGCCCACACTGCTGCCCTGCACCCACAGGTGGTTTAAATACCTCCAGTGGGTGGGCAGGGAGTTGTGAGCAGCCAACAGGCAGTGACCACCCTTCCCTGGGCTGGGGTGAGATGGGGGGAGGTGTGGCTTTGTCTTGCCCCCCTGTGCCATCATGGGCATCCCCCCTTCTCCCGTGGGTGCCTTTCCCACCCTCACCAGGGTGGGTTATGGGCTTGTGGGGCTTGTGGAGGGGGGATCAGGGTGGGGTTCAGGGGAGCCATTCCCTGCATCACAGGTGGGTGCTCCATGGATTAGGGACTTGGGGATGGGTGCTGGGGGTGTCCCTGTGCTCCCCCTTCTCCCGTGGCAGTTTGCAGCCAGACTTGGCTGCGAGCAGGGGGAGCATCTGCAACAACCAGTGACAGCCACCCAGGCACCCCAGAGCTCCTCCTGGCACAGGAGCCAAGGTGTCCCCACCAAAGGAGAGATGGGAATGTTGGGAGATGGGGGTTGTTTGCATCCCTGCATCCTTACAGATGCACCACCAGGGCAAGCCAAGGACTGCAATTAGAAGGGGTTTATTTGGAGAATGGGGAGAAATGCAGCTGAAATGTTGGGAGTGACACGGAGAAGCAGAGCTGGGGAGGAGCACGGCGCTGTCACCATGGCTGAGTGGCCTTCACCCCTCCCTCTTGCCGTGTGGCCAGCTGGCCCCAAGCCCAAGGTGACAGCGAGCCCCAAACAAAGCCGACAAGGGCTCGGTGTGGGCTGGCTGCATGTGCTGCCAGGGACAAACTGGGCTGGATTCAGCTGCACCCCGGGGTGTAGGGCTGGGCTGATGCCCCCCGTGCTGCAGCACCTTCCCAGGGACCACCACCATCACTGCCCACCACTGCAGAGGGGCATCCTGCCCCGAGGGTGTGCCAGCAAACATGGGAGACCCCCAGGGTCAGGGCAGGAAGAGCTTCCCACGCTGTTTAAGGAGCCTCTTGCCCTGATCCTGCTCTGCAGGATGGCTGGAATCCAAACTAGGAGCACCCAGATGAGCCATGGCCACGGTGCAAAAGGGGAGCAGCCCCATGGGGTGAAGGGTGGCATTGGCAAACACCCAAGTGATGTCCCCACCCGCAGCCACAACAGAGACCTGGGCAGTGGGGCAGAGGGTGGATGCCTTCCCCCCTCCACAACACCCCATGCCAGGAATTTCTCATCTCAGCAGAAATCCCTGGGGTTGTTTGTGCTCCACCTCAGACAGGGCTGGAAAAACCGCTCCCCTCGCCCTGGGTGTCTGGGACTGACTGTGAGAGCCAACTGGCTCTGCCAGGCAGGATTGTCCCCTCCCCAGGAGGAACCTGTGGTCCCACAGGACCAAGAGATCAGTCTGGGGACAGTGACCTGTGCAGGATCTGTCACTGGGGTCTGCAAGCAGGGTGGGCAGCAATTGAATCCCTCCTGTAGAAGCCATCCAGTATTTTTCAAGGGTCTTTATTGGCAAGCCCACTGCTGGGTCCTCATCCTGTCCCATGTCCAGCACCCCATGGCCCTGTCTTCCTGCTGTGTGATAGCTCCCACCAAAGGGGCTGATCCAGGGCTGGATGCTGAGAGTGTCTCTGAGGGCTCTCTCCACAGAGCCCAGGTGGCTCAGGCCAGGATGGGGAAGGTGGCCTCAGTGGCCACACCACAATTGTTGTCCTTCATGGCCATGAGGATGTAGCCATCATTGCCCCAGTATGTGGACCAGGAGTTCTTGATGAGCCAGTAGGTCTCTCCCTGCAGGACTCCATAGCCCACGGCCAGCACTGCGTGGTCCAGTGATCCTGGTGTGTTCTCTGCAGGGAGTGACATGGGAGAGGACTCATTTGGAGAGCATTCACATCCAGAGAGCATCACTAACCTAAGAGCATTCCTCTCTGGTAAGCATCCCTGTCTGGAGGGTATCCCAGTCCAGAGAGCATCTCTGCTCCCAGGGCTACCCACATTGCTCCAGAGAGATTCACAGCTGGTCCCCTCCATCCCTCTCCCTTGACCACAAGGATGACAACCAGGTATCCTGGCATTTCCCTGGGCACCTAGGTCCTCCCATGCCCTGTGTGCCACCCGACTCACCACACTTGGGCTCGTAGTAGATGCCATTGGAATAGAAGGAGAAGGTCTTGTGTGAAGCATCGATGCTGACAGCCACGGGGCCGTGCTTGTAGATGGCAGCTTTAACTGCTGTGATGTTGCCCGAGGTGACGTTGACGTAGCCTGTGATCTTGGCCAACATCTCAGACTGGTTGTAGTGGCACAAGCCATTCTACAGACACATGGGGACGCACTTGCATCAGGACTCCCAGGTCCTCTCACTGGGACCCTGCCCACCCTACCTGCCCTCGAGGTGCTCCACCCAGATGCACGGAGTGATCTGGGATTTGGGCTGTGAGAGCATCCCAGTTCTACCCCCTCTGTTGTTCCAAGTCCAGGGTGGCAGGAATGTTTTCCCAGTTGCTCAAGGCCACAGCACAGGGAGCTGGCTCTGCACTCAAAGCCCTGTCGGGACTGTTGCACATGTCTTGCAGCTGTGTCCCTGTCCCGAGACAGCTTTGCTCCATCCCTGCACCCTGGGGTATGGAGTGACCCACAGCACCACCCATGGGTGGAGGAGGCTTGTCCCTGTTTTGCAAGAAGAGAAACTGAGGCACATGGTGATGAAATTACCAAGCTGAGCCCTGGGGCTTGGCTTTGGACTGGGCTTTGAACCATGCACGGGAACCTGGTGCCTTGGGGATGAGGTGACATCCACATCTCCAGAGCCTGACTGTGGCTTTAAAGCCCCAAGACTTTGGGGACCCTATCAAGGACATAGGGCCACTCTCACCTGTCCCTTGTAGGTGCCATAGGACTCGGTGCTGGCGATGCCACCATGCTTCATGATCCACTCATAGGCTCTCCACTCCTCACCCCCATCACACGCATAGTTCCCAAAGCCCCAGGAGCAGTCGATGAGGACTTGTTGGGACAGGGGGGTCAGCACACCAGTCTGTGGGGGGACACACTGCAGAGGTGGGGACAGGCACCCTCCAGGTGCCCCATCCATCCCCATGGGCACTGTCCCACTCTCACCTTGAGGAAGAGAGCACCTTCCATGGCACCTGTTGTAGCAAAGCTCCAGCATGACCCACAGACAGCCTGGTCCTTCACAGGGGTGACAGCCCCTGGGGACAGTGGAGTGGGTGGTGAGAAACGGGATTGGCACTGAGGAATGGAGGCAGTTGGAAGGGAAACTCAGGGAGGAGTGGAGTTCCAGTGGCAGCACACCCAAGGTTTGGTGCTAACTGGGAAGGGGAGAATGCACCAGCAAACCTGGGAGTCCTGCCCTTGGGTTGGGGTATGGTCTGGGGGGATCACTCCCAGCTAATTGGGACATGTGGTAAGTCAGCTACGGCATCAGATGTGACATCTGTGCATGGGGCACCTGAATGAATGAGGGTCAAGTGCTGACTGGGCTGCCTTTAATCATAGAATCCCAGACTGGTTTGGATTGGAAAGGACATTAAAGCTCATCTTGCTCCACCCTCTGCCCTGAG